TAGTTCTAGCTTAAAGTTGGCACATTTTTGTCACAAATCTTGATCCTTGTGAGTATGGAATACTACAAGACCTTTGAGTTTCCTTTCAAATGTTTTAGGGTGTGATAAGTCATAAAAATGTGATCTTAGAATATTGTTTTTCTTCCATGCATGATCTAGGTTGTCTTAATGAGTTGGGAAGTTAGGGTTTTTAGTTCGAGCACTTAATAGCCATGCAAGATCATAAAGTTGGAAACCTTATGGTTAAGGATATCATTCAAGGGCTAGATCTTGATTTTGGATGAAAGAACTTAAGGATTAAGCTCTTAATGGGAAGAAAGGTTGGCAGCCGTGTACGCTAGACGTATCAAAGGGTATGTTGCGCATACATGGTCAGCACCTCGACTCATTGTCAACCGCATAGTACGCTCTGCATACATGTTGAGTATTCCTAGCGTACTCACCGAGTTGACCTGGTTGACTTGGTTGACTTTGAGTTTGACCAGGATTTTAACCAAGTATGACCTATGAGTATTTTGAGTTGTATTCTGATTTTTGGTGATTGTTATTTATAAAAGTGACCAGTATAGTTGGTTTTGGAGCAGTATGTTGTTTCAGCTTTTTATCCATCTGAGATGTGAGTTTTCTCACTATATCCATGGGTCGAAGGCACCAATGTTGGCCCATCATTGTGTTATGTAGGATGATATCTATTATGTGACCTATATGTGTTTGCATGTTCGAGTTGAAATAGACCCCAGGGTGGGTCCGCTATCATATGTTCGGGTTGAAATAAATCCAGGATAGGGCCCACTATTGTATGATTGTGTTGAAAGATACCCAAGGGCGGGGCATATATGTGTTGATCTGGTTGAAATACACCCTAGGGCGAGGCCCCATGGCCGGGCCTATAGATGTATATTGGGTTCGAATATACCCAGGGTTAAGCCCAGTTGTATGATTGGTATGTGGTACTTTGAGGAACTCATTAAGATTTATTCTTACACTATATGTTTATGGTTTCATGTACTTCCGGTTCGAAAGGGAAGGGCCCGACGTGATGGCACGGTATCCTCCCCTCGTGATTTCTATATTTTGAATAATTTTACTATGATATCTTGGAAATTATAATTGGTGATGGTATTTGAAACAATTAATGAATGAAATCAATAGTCTTTTAATGAAAAAATTTATCACTGTTTTATGGGTTGTTACAAGTTGGTATCAGAGCCTTGATTTGAGGGATTCGGGCATACTTTTGCATGTGTTAGAACTCAAACTGAGGAAATGATAATCTTTTTAAAGGAAAATGAAATTGAATTTTTTAATAATATTTTTACGAAGTAAAAAGGGGTGTGTTTAGTGATCCTAATTATGATGACATGTGCAGAATAGTAAAGATCAAGTGAATCATGCAAGAATCAAGAGCACAATGAGTAAATAATCATGTTTAAGCTCTATTAGAATAGTAATAATACAAGTGGGTTTGTTTTTCTCTCACTAAACTAACTTTCCAAATGGGTCTCTTACATAATGGGAGTTACTTCCTAATTATAGTAAAGACTCAACTCATTTATATATACAAGAGGGTAAGCCTACACTCCACATCTAATGAGAACTTTGCACCCTAACATTCTCCCCCTCAAAGTTAAGATTGGATGTCCCGCTTTAGTTTCCAAACGAGCTCGCGCGATCAAGACCAACTCCCCCTCGAAGTAACATCGGTCTTCAAAACCGCAAACGAATACATGAGAAGCTTCGAATACCATCTTTTCATTCTCCCCCTTTTATAATCAACAAGTGATTATAAAACGCGCAAAGGACGAGAGGCGCTCGAGGAATAAACTTGACGAATCTCCTCCTTGACGTGTGTAACATCCATGAAATTTTCATAAAATTTAAACTTTTCAAAACAATCCTTTTCCTATGGAAGTGTTTATAAAACTCATTAATTTCAAAACATTATTTTAAAATCAAAACCTTTCTCAACATAGTTTTCAAAATGTTTACATTATTAGAGTTTCCCAGAAATCATAAGTCCAAAATGCGAGGATGTGTACGGTCATGCCTTCACCTTGCCACGATCCACTGAAGTACCTGAAACCATAAACCAAAACTGTAAGCACGAAGCTTAGTGAGTTCCCCCAAAGTACCAATACCCAACCATATAACATATACATATAACAACATACATACCGAGCCTTCAGCCTGACTGGACCGCCACGTAGGGCTTATAACCTATCCGGACCGCTCCCGAGCCTTCGGCATCATTGGACCGCCTTGCAGGGCCTACAACCTATCCAGACCGCTCCCGAGCCTTCGACATGACTAGATTACCTCACAGGCCTTCAGTCTATATGGGCCATCCTAGGTCTATTAGCCTCCAACACACAACATGACCGCCTCAACCAAACCACACACACACATGACGACATATACATAACTCATAAACACATAATCAGTCAACAAGAAAGCACAGATCATACGGATCAATAAGCATAACATCATCTTAACTACCAGGATACCAATATAATAGATCATAACAACATAGCAACATCCTATCTACTCGGATACCGACGTAACAGATCATAACAACATATAAGCATACTATAAACAGGATAACAATCCAAAGGGTCGGCCTTGGTGCCTTCAACCCACAAGTATAGTGAGGAAAAATCACCTCGCACCACCGAAGACACAAACGATCTCTCGTTACTGGCTACCAGATCCTCGGATTGCCAGCATCAAAACAACACCCCATCAGCAACTGATTCCATGAATAATCTCCGACTGCAGATCCAGTATCACACACACTCTAACAGATACCAAAGTGACAATCCATCAACAACTAGCCACTGAATCAAACGATGAGTCTAATTTAGGTAAAAGACCTTTTTACCCTTCCTTAATCTTGGCGCAAAGCTAAGGCCTAAAGTAGATGACAAAAGGCCCAATATCAAATAAACTCCTTAAGTCTGATGATGGCCAAATTTTCCAAATTGTTCCTAACCCCTTTCATGGCCTTCACCCAAGAATATCCAACAAGCCAAAATCCCAACCATAAAATCCTAGATGGTCCTACACAGCCAAACGCAAACCAAACCCAAATTTTGATCCAAAAGACCCAAATTACTTCAAGATCCACACTTAGCCCAATTTGGAAAATTGGGCCCAACTCCTTGTTGGGCCTTAGCCAAAGGCCCGATAATCTAATTAGCCCAAAACACACTTATCTAATTAGTTCATTAGGGCCTAAGTATCAAAGCCGAACAGATGACCAAATACCCGAAGCCCAAGTCCCAAATCCAAACAGAGGACGTATGCTGGGTGTACTTCGCCTCTCATTGACCACCATCAGGGTGGTTGACTCCGTATGCAGGGCGTATAACAACTTACACGGGGTGTACCCTCATAAAGACCAAAATCATGATAAGTGCTTAATTGCTTAAGCACTTAAGCCTAAACTTCAGATCCATGGTCCAAAGGCACATTAGAGTCATAAAGTCTCAAACTTAATGACATTAGATGTCTAAATGATCTTAATATAATTTCTTAATCTATTAAGACCTTTCTACCAAATACATGGGACATTTCTAAAAATTGGAACCTCATTTTTATGCCTTAGGACCCATCCTAAGGTCTGAAAGGACATCTCAATATGTCCAAAACAAAGCATGCACAAAATTGGGACTTTTGGGAGAAGAAGAACACCAAAAAGCAACCAAAACAAGATCTAAACAATCCAAACAAAAGGTAGAAGCTTTATACCTTTTGGAGATTCCCAAGAAGATGATAATCCTAGATCTACACGTTTGTTTCCTTCCTTGACCCGTTTGATGCATTAACTTCTCATTTGGCACACAAAACACCACTACAAGCTCAAGATGCTCATAATAGGGGTTAAGTTCACTCAACACGGCAAAGGGACTTGGAGGCTGAAAGACTGGGTCAAAATTAGGCCTGATAATTGGGTTGGGTTCGAGTTGGCGGGTCACGGGTTGGTGGGTTGAAAACATCAACCCAACCCAACCCAACCTGTATAAGTATATGGGTTCGTGGGTCGAACCCAGCCCGTATAACTCATTTAATAAGCAACACATTTTAAAATCAAAATTAAAAAAATACAAATAAAATGAAGTGATAAAGTCTTAATTATTCAACATAAAGTCATAAATATAAAGTCATAAACTGGAGTAATGACAACAAGTGGTGTGAGACAACCGGAGGACCAGAAGATGAGTGGTGTGTGTGCGACACTACGACAGTCGATGACTCGATGCCTTAATCGACGGATACTGTGACATCCCCAATTTCACAGCCAGAAAAGACTGATTCACTACAAGAAAAAGACCCTTTTACGACGCGCAAACCACGACACTCATTGATTTATGTTACGCAAAAGAGCGTGATATTAAAAAAGTGTCATCTCTTCAAAAAATTTAAGGATTTATGTCACGCATTATTGTGTGCCCTTAAATTAGTGTCTCTAGAAAAGAAATTAAAAACACGGAGGGCACTTTATTTTAAACGTGCGTCCTCTGTACATGTTGCTTTATAATTTTAATGAAATGCGCATTTAGTAGAGGGGGAAATGAAATCCCCAAAATTTTAAAAACCCGTATTCTACCTTCTTTCTATCTTTCATCTTTGCAGTCTACTCTTCCCTCTCCCTCCTTCTCTCTTCTTTCCGATCCACTTCTCCGCCACTCCTTAATACCTTGCAGGAATCTAAAAACTAGAAAACCCTATCCTCACAAAGTCTAGGAAACCAGGGTTTTTTAATCCCTCAAAGAACGACCCACATCCTCCATAGATCGATCTCTATCGCTTCATTTCTCACAAGATATCGAACACTTTACATTCATAAGGCCACAAAATCGAATATTGCTTGAACTAGGGTTTCGAGTTCGTATAACATAACCCTCCCTCAATATGTTCTCCATGTTGAATCGATTCCCTGGTTTTGATCGACTCTTGCTCACACCGATCATCGATTTTCAATCGTCGACCATCGCTGCATAATGCCTCGTTCCCAAGATTTCAATGTGTGGTACCTCGATGTCATTTCCGAGGATGAGCTCGCTGATTACGACCATGTTCGTGGTACCATGGTTATTCGACCATACGGTTATGCCATATGGGAAGCTATTCAGGCAGGACTTTTGTTTGTTTTGAGACAAACTTGTTAAGCTCTAGCCATTCGCTTTTGATTTTTTTTTTTACCTTCTTCCAAATTTAACCTAGATTTTCTCAAAGCCATCTGCGAATCTCCTTTTGGGCTTTCTTCATTAGCATATTTCGAGTTTCAACTACAGTCAAATCTCTGGTTCTATTCCAAATTTTATATGCCACATCAGTCTCAAAACCATTTGTTCTTATCCCACTCCCAGATTTATTATTTCTTGAGGACATTTGATATGGGGTGTTAAAAGAAGAAGGTTGCTGCTGCTTGATGTCACTATCATCTGTTTTTCTATTTTTTTAGTGGTTTCCCATGGACAAATCTTCACGCTCTCTTTATACGCCACATATGTGTTTGTGTTGTTTGATGAATGATATTTCTTCATTGAATCCCGATGCTATTGGTGTTGCTGTGCAACCGATTTCTTAAAAGTAACAGGTGGTGCACTATTTGTAGCCAAAAAAGGCTTCTGACAATTGGGACATAGGAGTGTTTGATTTAGGTATATTTTTAGGTATTCATATTGCATCCTGCATCCATGGCAAACAGTCTAAAAATTAGTGGTGGAGCCGTGGGACTTTTGTAATTGCATTTTCTTCCATTCATGGTCACAGACCTAAGTCAGAAGTGGGTGTTGTAGTAGATTAGCAGCAGCAATCTGACTTTATGGTATCAACTACTCCTACTTTTCAATTTCCCCTTTTTTATTCACTTTGATGCCTTTATTTTAGTCTTTATTTGTTTATAATATAAACAACATACGATTTATGTTTTATTTATGGGTGCAGTTTGCTTCCGGTGAAACCATGAGGAAATGCTTCAGCTTTGTATGTTTTCTTGGAACCTAACTTTTATCATTTCCATTATTTACAGCAAAACAAGATTAATAATTTGTTCTTGGGTACTACTTTATGATATTCACTTATCAGGTTGAAGAGAAGGGGTATGGAGTTCAAAACCAATTGAACTACTCACATCATGGATCTTAATATGTGGTCATCTACAGGTCAACCTCCTCATGCCTTGGTTACTTTTGGTTTTGGTGGGAAGTTGATTGTGATGAAGGATACAAATGGTTCCATATACCCATTGAAAATCAGGAGTGATAGTGAGTTCCACCCTCAATATGGTGTCATTAAAATGACCAAGACTGGATCCGACACCCGCACCAATAAAACCAAGAAACAAAGAGTTCCTGTAAGCATCTCCTCTTTCAGATTTCTCCTAAATTTACTGTTTTGTGATTCTAATTTGATTTGATGCAGAATAAGAATCATAATTTTACAAACAATGATGTTGAAGATAAATCTATGAAGTTACACTGCTATATGGACACAAGATCCTCCGTTAGACAGGTGTTTGTCATGTCATAAAACTCATAACATATTAACATAGCATATTTTTTAGTCATGAAAGAAATGCTTTTGTCAATGATGATTGACCCTTTTTGTTTATAATTATAAATTATCAGGGTGTTCTTTCTCAGAGGAGATCTAGCTTTCGGGGTAACCAATTCCCTCTAGCAGTTGAAGCTGCTAGAAAAGCTCCTATTCGCAGTAGAAACTTCATGCGGAATCAACCAATGACTTCATATAGACCAAGGCAAGTTGTTTGTTTTTCTTTAATAACAAGTTGTATTTCATCTCTTATTGCTTCAATAATCTGATTATAAGTGTTGTTAATTTGGTTTGATGTGCTGGTGTACAAAATAAGGGTGCTACAAATGGAGGCTTTGCTGTTAAGATATAACTAAATATTCAAAAAAAAGTTGGTAATATTATTAGCCAAGGTATTGAGAGAGTAGTTTGTTTGTTTGTGATATTTATTTATATGCAACAGCAATTGAACTACTCACATCCTGTCTTCCCATTGAAAATCAGGAGTGATAGTGAGTTCCACCCTCAAGATGGTGCGGGTGATTGGTTGAACATGTCCTGCAAGATTAAGCTTTGGGAATTGGTGAATGCACTTGTGAAGATTTCACCCGAATTTGGGGGATCGAACAAGCTCTCCCAGCTCCTATGATGATAGATCATAATATCTTTCCCATGCCAGATCCTTCTTTTCCAGTTTCATCAGAATGTCATTTTTAATCCCGTAAAATTGGCGTAGTGGGGTTTGGACACTCCAAATCCTGTTGTTTATCATTTTTCACAAGTTCAAGGCTTTCTCGGCTAACTGGGCCCATCCTCTTTTCAAATATAAGCACATGATGCTTTCCAGCCACTCCAATCACCTTTTCATAACAGATATCATTCATCAACTAAAATCTCTACAATGGCTTCTTTACTGTAATTCCAATATACTGTTGAGCAAGTGGGCAAGGTCTGTAACTATTGTCAAAATAAAACAGGCCTTTCTCTAATTCAACTCGCATAAATAACGCAACATCATCATAATTGGGAAGCATTGCAGATAGCCCAACCAACCGAATATGTTCCTTTGTGGTATCAATTTGTCTAACAGTTCTTGCCCCAATACTCTCGAGAACAGGTCCTCTGTTATCTTGCAGAAGATGAATTTCAACAATAATTATACCTTTCTTTCTCAAAAATATATAATTTATATATATATATATATATATATATATATATATATATATATATATATATATTGAGAAAGAAAGCTATTTTGAGGGGATTTAGGGTTTGGATTTTGTTGATTTTTTCCGTTGAATCAGATATGGAGAGAATGCGGAAGAAGCTGCAGCATTGGCTGATTGGAAATGCCCCAGATGTAGAGGAATCTGTAATTGCAGCTTTTGCATGGAAGTGTTGTTTTCGATCTGATATATTGCTACATATCTCCATTTTCAAGATCTAATTCCCCTAAAAAAAAGTTTCAAATTTGACTTTAACAGATTTGGTACTTTTCAAATTATAAATTGAATAACCTATGAACTTTTCAATACCTTTTCCAAACAAACAAGTACCACGGATAACATATTGTTTGTATTATTTTTGGCAACAACATTCATTCCAATTTTCCAATCAACAAGTACCCTTTTAACCTTACACATCAAAGGTAAAACTTTCATCTTTTTATTAATTGCAGTTTTCCTAAAGTCCAAATAACAAACAAGGGTATTTTTGTAATTTAACAGGAAAACGACACCGCGGATGTAGCGGCTACTACACTATCTGCATCTGCAAAGAAAGACACTTCTCAGTATGGCGATAATGGAGCTTTCGCTAACTGCTTGCAACAGTTGCCACCAGAAGGAAAAATTCGGGTATTCACCTTATTTCATTTATTCACATAATATTAAAAAACATCTTTTTTTATTGATTTCTCTTTATTTTCTTAGTCAACTGCTGCTGAAGTCCAAACTCTTCTAGTTTATAGGGGATTGTCTTAGTTCTTGCAGCACAACTTGGTGATCAGTTCTCTTTCTCTCTCTCTCTCTCTCTCCCCCTCTCCCTCTCTCTCTCTCTCTCACACACACACATTCTGAAAAATCTACTCGATTATAGAATTTTTTCTATTATATTTTAATTCCTACCTTCTCTTTGATTTCAATATTCTCGATTTAGCATCTTCTGTTGAGGTTATTCTTACACTTTTTGCATTCAAGTGTATGTCTCCATGAGGTAATTAATTTTGATCATGTATCTTTATTGCTATTAAACACTACTATAGATTATAGAATCCTGATACATTAGTAATAATCATTTTTTTTTAATGTTTTTAGCTATTAAACACTACTATAGAAGAAGAGCACCCTGTTGTGTTTACAGGCAATACCCTGTTGTGTTTACAGGCAACACACAGGTTGGTGAAGTCTTTTTAATTTGACATGAAACCCGGAACCCTGTGGTATGTTTATTTAGCTACTCATCAAAATGGTTCATGTACACTACATAATGATAGATTATCAATAAATCAAGATAATAATAATAATATGAAAACTTCAGTTACTCCATTAGGCAGCCTTTCATCACCTTCACCAATGACGGATTTATTAGACATATTCACCTAGTATGTTTATTTATTTATTATTTTATAACAAATTTTGGTAAAAAAAGTTATTTTTTAAATTCTTTAGTTGCATTTGGAACCTGCTAGCAGTAACTCTCTTCCTGCAAATGGTAACGGCTCAATAACACAAAAATTACGAGTTACCAACACTCAACATGGCAAGGTAACTTATAAATAAATCATCATGGAATGAAATGTTTGTGTGTTTTTTTTTAAATATCGTTTACATGATGAATGTTGATTGTTATGGTAGAAAGCAATCATTATGCGCATACGAATAAGTTACAAGTTGAATAACAAACACATGTTGGAAGAAAGACATCCCTCGTGAGATATGATAACATTTTTCGCTCTCTTCTATCACCATCTCTTAGTGTTTATATTTGGGACAATGTTATTAAATATTATTTGTATCTTTGTATTCCCATGTTCTTAGGTCCAAATCATGGATATTTGAATTTGTTGATTTTGGAGGTGAAATGAGACATGATATATGGTACTAATAAAGGTAAGACAAGGGCAACAAATTATTCCATTAATGACATTAATCACTTGCATTTGTGATTGTATTCATTACATATGGATTCAATACTTAGCTAAGTTGACCTAGCATTTTATTCTTCTAGGTTCACTCAATCAGTTCTTGTTTTTGTTGTAAATTGTAAATTGTAATTCAGGGTATTCTTGGTCCATGTGCATCACTTGAGAAGGTTCATATAGTATTTTTAAGAATGTTTTGTCACACCCCAAAACCACGAACGGCGGAAACGTTCAGGGGTGGAGGACGTCATGTACAGTATCACAACAGTGTAAAGAAGTAAACAAGCAACAACATCATCCATTGCATTATAACTAACATTTTAATACATATGTGTTCTTTCATTGTAATAAGACACCAAAAATATAATCAAAATAAAAGACGAGACTTGTCTGCTCCGTCTTCTCAAAACCTGGCCACCGTACCTGTCTACTGATGACCTAAGAATACAAGTTATTTTGAAAGAGAGTATCAGCTTTAAATCTGGTGAATTCATAAGTATTTAAGTGTCATTGACTTGCTTTGAAAAGCTTTTTTAAAAGTCATGTAAATCTTTAAATGAAAATGTTGATATAAGTATGAAAAGCCCTAGAAAATCCCTTATTTTCTATTATTATGAAATGTAGTCTTCAACCCAGACTCGAATGTTTTGTAAGTAAAATGATAGTTTTTCCTTTTATTAACTAGTACTAAAGTACTTAGTCTAACTCATCGTTTATGTGAAAGTATCACAAAATAAAGTAAACAGGAAAATGTACTAATATAAGTGTTGTCACTGGGTACTATGAGTAACACAACATCGCAATAAGCGAAAAGTATAACCTAATGAACATCCAAAGATTGTCCACTTGTCCTCTGTAGCAGCAGCAGATGGGTGGAAGGGTTAGTCCCGATATCGATCTACCTAATATAAATAGTAACCTAATGATCATCCGAAGATTTTCATCTCATCCTCTGTTGCAACAGCAGGATGGAGGAATGGTTAGTTCCGATACCAATCTACCTAGTATATGTAGTAACCTAAGACCTCCGTAGATGGTCATCAACCACTAGTGCTAATCAGTGGGATTCAGAATAGTTAGTCCCGCCTAGATATCCCATTGTACCGGGATAGGAAAGATAATTTACACAGAAAGTACTAATATATCATCTTCGCGAGTCAAGATACGAGTATCCAGGTAAATGAATACAGGATAATGCATCTATGTAACAATGTTCATGTATGGTATTCATGTAAGTGTGTTCATGTATCAGGTAAGTATATGTAAACATGTTCATGTATCAGGTAAGCATATGTATATGTACCCATGTATCAGGTAATGTAATGGTGTAGACTCATGAATGAACTAACTCTTGTGTGATTCCTTGTAATAGGAATAATGTTTGATATCTTCAAATTATCCCTATGATAATTTACTGAAAGGTAGTTGGTTGTTCAAGAAGGTAAACGTAATGGTTTTGCAAGGTATCTAGGAGTTTTGAGTAATAATTAAGAGTGACTTGGTGTCATGTTAATAAACATTTCAAAACCAATACTTTTGTTATCAAGTTATTTTAAGATATAAAACCATTTCATGCATCACATTTTTTAGTATGTGAAATCTGTTGAATGAAAACACAGTTATAAAATACATATAAATGATTTAATAACATGTTTTCTACTTGTATTCCCCCATTAAAGCATTTAAAATCATTTAAAACATTGATTAGGGGTATGAACTCACCTGTAGATGGTAGTTTAGATGAACTGGACGGTGTAGGATTGTTAGGTGTCAAGTGAGGACTTGTACACACACTACGATCCTAATGAACATATAATAACACATATATGCACTCAATTAGTCTTAAATTACTAATTGATAATGTTAAGACATCCTAGAACATAATAAACACTTTATATAAGTGTTTTAAGCCCTAAGGATTGCATCTAAGCCCTTATGGGACAAGGTACTTGGGTTTAGGGTTCCAAAGGACCCCATATATGAGTTTACTCTCCATATACCATCACACATGGAGTTTACGGTTGTAAACTCTTGATTTTACGGTCGTAAACTCCCAACATTGGTGGTATTTTGTGTTTTGAAGTTCTAAATGATCCCTAGAATTATTCCAACTCGGTGGTTCAATTCTTGGAAGGGTTTAAGGTATAAAAACACTCTTTTGAGGAGTTTATGGCCCTTAGGCCATTTCATTTAGAGTTTGCGGCCGTAAACTCTTAACGAAAAGTGTTTTTGATGCTTTCAAGTCTCTTGCATATGTAGGATAGGTCCTAGACTTTTACCTAAGGCATTAAGCACACTTTGGTGCCCTTTAATCATGTTTACTGCCCAAGAACCATGTCATGGCCGTAAACTCACTTTGCAAAGTGTTTTGGGTCCTTCAATTAATTGGGAACAATTCTATGCAAATGTCTAGAGCTTTAGGTGCCTTAAAAGCACCCTTTGGTCCAATTTATTAGAGTTCACGGTCCAAGATCATCTTGGGCCGTGAACTCCCATGTGTTTGAGTT